AAAAAGAAAAAAATATATATAAAAACTCTAAAATCACACAAATAAAGCTGAGAAAGTCTCCATCCAGTGTTTAAATTCCCTGTAGGAACTTCCTGTAAGAGCAATATGATAGAAAATTCTCCCTAAAGAAAACACCTAATATTCTGATCAAAATGGCGGGGGGGGGGCATAGAGAAAGAGAAGGGAAGGGAGAAAAGAGAGAAAGGGGAAAAGAAGGCAAAGGGGAAAGGAAGGAATGGGAAAAGAGGAAAAGAGAAAAGGAGAGAAAGGGGAAAGGAAAGAAAGAAGGAAAAAAGGAAGAAGGGAAAGGAAGGGAGGAAGGAAAAAAGAATGACTTGCTGAGTGCTGATAAAGCAAGTAATCCCTCAAATTCATTGAAGTTCAGAAAATCGGGAAAGTGCAAAGCCAGCATTTGTCCTATCATTATCTACTAATCCCTGGTGACTTGGAGAGTGAGGTTTAAGCAGCCTTATATTTGAGATATTGTGAAAAGAGAAAAACATGGGTTACCGAGGGATGAAGAAGTAGATACTGGCGACAGATAGACAAACAAACAAATCAAAGAATCATATATATAATATCTCTGTATAGTGGTATTTTAAAATACAGGACACAAAATAAATATCTTAGTATATTTAAATTTTTTTGTTTGTTTTGCAGTTTTTGGCCAGGGCTGGGTTTGAAACCACCACCTCTGGCATATGGGGCTAGCGCCCTACCCTTTTGAGCCACAGGCACCGCCCAGTATATTTAAATTTTAAAACAAAGTATAGCAGGCTAACCTAGTAATTTAGGACCCAAGCTACTGGAACTTGAGGACATGTATTCTACAAAAAATAACAAAAAGAAATCAGGTAAAAATAACATAGCTCCATTGTCGAGGTATCTCCCTTACTTGGCTATCAGCATTAAGCCTTTGCCTTTTTTACTTTATGAAAGATTTCTATTCAAATATTAAAAACCAAGAGGGGGGCCATGCAGTGGCTCACACATGTAATCCCAGCACACTGGAAG